CTGAATTGACCATATATAGCGAACGTAAATCAGAGAATGTTACTCTTTCTGGTGGAGAATGAGGATCAAGCTTTCGCATAGTAAAATAGGTTTCTCACAGTGCATTTTTTTCGCCAACCAAATTTCGTCAATTTCACGCTCTATAAGTTTGTTAATTTTTCCTAAGAACATTTTGGTCGTTTAACGGATCGCACAAACAGAAATAATTTGTACGAGTATCACATAGTTAACATGGTCAACTCTATGTTTATAATAATTCTCATTTTTATCACATTTTTATAAAAAATAATCATACAAATATCAATTACATTCCCATTAAATTCAACAAAAATCTTGTACAGGACCCCTGGAAAATTGTCTAACTATATACCGCTTTAATATAATTTATGATAATAATAAATTTACTCAAGTAGTTAAATGTATATTATGTAAAAATAATTTGTTATATACATTATGTATAACATTGTAGTACATCATTTTTGTTTGTTTACGTTCTTACTCCTTACCTTCGAAAAATGTATATACATATAATAAGAAAGATTTCTGTAGTATAAAATAAAACAAAATGCAACAAGGAACAACAAAAAGGATAATAATTAAAATTATATCCTTAATTGATTTCTATCAATAAAACTGTATAATAAAATAATTTATTATTCTATGTACCGACATACATATTATATATGTACATATACACACATATATCTGAATTTTTATAAGAATAAAACCTTCAATTTTTTTCTACCCTTTCTTCTAATTTCTTTCATTGTTATAAAAATATAATAAAACAAAAAAAAAAATTTTTCAAAGTCGGAAAAATTTTCGGAAATTATTTTACCTTTTATATACCCTTATTTTATATAAAAATTTAAAATATATAATTATATACGTTTATAATCTGTACCTATAAATGTATATATGTATATGCATTATAAATTTTTAATATGTTTATATATTAAAATATAGGTCTCTATAGGAATTTATTGATTATCAAGATTCCGGAACACGATATCCGTATTTTTTCTGCAATCATTCTATAGTGCTATATATTGCTTACTATTATATACATATTATACTTATTATAATTATATTGTGAAAGTATAGTATATGTGTATGTATTCAGTACACAATATTGTAAATTTATATGCGAATATGATATTTGTTTGTACGTATACAATATGATTTGCAATGAAATTTAAATATTACCAGATATTTACAATAATAAATAAAATTATTCTAAAATATAAAAAAAAATATCTGTATGTATAATAGGCGGATGTACGTACATATATAGATGATGGGCATTAACATGATAAACAAATTACTTAATATTTAACTATTTAATAATTTATTATAAAAGAAAAAAAAATTATTAAAGGAAATTTACATGAATTTGAATAGCCTTTATTGTTTCTTATTAGAAAATTAAAATAGAAATAGATATACACATACAGAAACAAATATTAAATGTTATACGCCACACTGTTTGTATTCCGAAGAATTTCCTTTGTGCACTTTTTAACATATAGCCAAATAGTTACTTGTACGTATATTTTTTTTAACTCCTTTTCTTCTTTGAATTATAAAATCGTAAAGAAATGCTTTTATGCAAACTTAAATATAAAATACAAAAAAATAAAGAAAAAATATAAAATGTTTTTGATATTTTGCATTAAATATCTTTTTGTACAATATGATATTTAAAATAATAGAAATAGTATTTAATACTAAATAATAGTATTTAGTAGGGTGTTCCGGTTCAAATTTATAAAATTTCATATTAGGTAGGTAGGTAGGTTGATGCGGCTATCAGAAGATACAACTATGCCAGATTAGCCCGTTGTGATATGTCAACGTGAACCAGCCCGAGTCCTTTATAAACCAGTTTAATTCTTTGGCATTTACATTCGCCAGGTTCGCAAATCGAATAAAGAAATGCGATCAAAGAAATCATCGTCTCCTCCTAATCCGCGTCACAGCAGCTCCTGCAGAGATTGTTAGTGGGGTGTTCTGTTCTCTTGTTGTGTTCGCCAATCAGACACTGGCTAGTAATAAGCCCTGTCATTACTCCGATGTCATCCCGACCGAGCAACATCAGACCCGCTTTGTGACGCAGATCTAGCTTAGGCCAAAGTGGTCTGGTTTCACCACATGTCCTTGCGTTATCTGGTTTTATCACATGGTGTTTAGCAACAGATTAAAGGCATCCTTTAAGGGTAGAACCTCAAAGGTGGTTCCATGTCTCACGAGCTCATCCGTCTTGCATTTCCGCTACGACTCGGAACCCAAATTAGGCTTATTTTGAACGATTGCACCATCTTGTTGAAGAATGATCTACGATCCCGGATCGTTCTAGAAGTAGATGTCTCCGTTTCCAACGCTCTTACCGTTGCCTGAATGTCCGTCAAAATATTGATACACCTGCATGATGCGTCCCGTTCAACCCTATACCCTCTGTATATCCCACGATGAAACAGCAGTCAATTTATTTTTTATTTGTTATTTCCTATATTATTAAATTTATTGTTCCTGGTTGGAACTTTTTTTTTTTAATTTTTTTTTTCCTCTTCTTTTTTTTATTTTTTTTTGTTCTTTTATTCGTAAATGGTCTTTATTTGTTACTATAGTATTTAGATTTCATATGAAAATGAATGTTTTGACTGGATAAATAATAAGAAAGTAAAAATAGAATAAATAATTATAGAAAAATGAAATTGGAATAGAAAATTTAAGACTGAATTCAAAGTTTCAAGGAATTTTTTATATGTGAACTTTATATTTTGGTTTTTCTTTGCTCCAGTTGATGATAGGACCCTTTAGGGATTTAATCTGTTTTTTTTTTAAAGTCAAAGAACAAAAAAAAAAGAAAAACTTTTATTTAATTAATCAAAATTAATAAAAAGATTTCATTAGATTGTTGATTTGCAATTTCATTGATATTCGAATTAATTAAATTAAAAAAATACAAGAGTAAAGTGATTACTTTCGTTATCGATTTGTATATGTGTACATATGTATTTTAGTATAAGTGAAATTTTAGCTAAACAACCGAAAATAAAGGAGGAATATTAAGAAGGTACAAAAGAATTTAAACTGAAATTTGTGTAAAATTTTCATGAAATAATTAAATATTTTATTTATTTAATTAAATTTAAAATGGTTTAAGTGAATGTTAGGAGTGTTATTTCTAGAAATGTGCGGTATTTAAATTACTGTTATATTTTCTTGTATGCATTTATGGTTTGTGTCTATGTTTACTTAAAATATGAAAAATTTCTATATACATATGGGGTTTTATATGTGTATGTAGGTAGTTCATAGGTATAAACTAGAAATAGGTTCCAAGTCAAATATTATTTAATTCTAAGAAACAACACTAAATTAGGTTAAATTTCATGATAGCGAAGTTATTTTTATAGCATTTTTATGTGCGTACATATATGAACCATTTATATATATGTAAAATTATGTATCTTATACCGCAATATTCAAAGGGTGATTTCATTATACTGTGTTCGCTTATACTTGACAACTTGCTTACACTATATAATGGATTGCTCCACACTAACAATAAATTCGATGATAATTAGATAGTGGTACACATATAATTTGCAAATGTTTTAGAATATGTCAAATATTTCAAATGCAGAAGTTTTGGACGGATTTCTTGTATCATTAAAATCATTAAACTTAAATTAATTAAGGGTTCGAGCATTTTTACGTATGTGACATACGTGCAAACACATATTTAATATACTTGAGAATATTGGGTACTGTATCGATTTAATTTGAGATCTATGTTGAAGACGTATAGGAAATATGTTGCTTTGTTATAAAAAATAAAACCGGATATCGATTCGGAATTTGTTAACATTACGTTCGGAAAGAGTAATTATTCGAGTATTGTATTGTATTTATCAATTGCTTCTTGGGAATGCTACCGCTTCGTCGATACTGGAAGGCATATTTTTCATTGAAATATTAGAACTTAAACCCATTTACAAAAACTTTTATTGTATTTAAAATTTTGTTACTTATTATCCCAAATTGTAATCATATACGACTTACCATCGTATATAAATAACGAGAGATTTTCCTTTATTAACCGACAGTCTCACTTATTGCGACTGTATTATGATGTGTTAAATTTACGTTTTGTTATATGAGTGTTACAAAAGCTTGATCTATAAGATTCAAAACAATCGTCTGATAATAATAAAGTTTGTATCAATTATCTATAAGAAAAATATTGCGAATTGTATATCTTAATATTTTAAATAAATAGACTGGAATCAATTAAAAAATAATTATTTTTAATTATAATGAAATTACTAAAGTAAAAAAAAAAAAATAAATCAATCTAATTCTTTCATAAGAGTTCGAGACTTTCAACAATGTCCAGTTAAAATAAATATTAATTGTACGGATGTGTTAAATTTCTTTTTAATTATTTTATAATAAAATATTGAGTTTGTGTTAATGGAAAATTATTTTTCCTATTATTTCTTGATTTTGATATCAATTCAATGATATTGAAAGGTTTTCTTTTATTTCATTAAATATTGTCTGTTTTTGAAATTTTAATGCATGCACTCTTATCTACCTTTTATGGTATACTTGAGAAATCATAATATTACTAAATTTTGCGACTATTCACAAGATAATTGATTCGGAAATCTAGTCTAAATAATTTTAATATATTTACATAATAAGTATAAAATGTGTTGAATAAAGGATAAATAACTCCAGAACGTAAACAATAATTTAAGGCGATTCTCATTTGTTACACTCAACTTTAAGAATTTTAATATTTTGTAATATAACATGTAGAAAATCTCATTCCTTTCTGTCTTGATTCGTTTCTTTCATTGCTTCATCCACCTGTCTTATTAAGTAATATTAATTTTTATAAGAATTAATAATAAAAGATAAAGAACTACACATTGAATTAGTATCATTAATTAGTAATGCCTTTTCTTTTATTTTAAATTTTTTTACAGATTTGTTAGTCAAAGATATTGGGAGCGATCTTCATCAGAACCCGATTTAACTGGTAAGTTTTAAAATTTTTTCAACTTTTTTTTATTTTAGAATTTCTTTTAGATTATGCATAATTTATTAATCCTACTATAATTAACTTAATGTACACTTAATCACCTGTATTTTATTTTAGATACGCATAATTTGCATGATAGATTTCGTATTAAAAATCCACACGAATATATTGCAGTTGATGATTTAAAATATTTTCGAAGAAAGAAACCTTTAGGTACTTTTGTTGGTACAGTGTGTTTTTTTCTCATAATTTTATTTTATAAATTTTTAAAATAGAATTTTTTTAATTATATTTAATAAATATTTCTGTACTTTCTAGACTCTTTTTTCTGATCACAATTTCTTTGTATTTCTTTTTTCTTTTATTTCATTCCCATTTCTTATACAATATTGAAAATTATGGTAAAATTTATTAATTTTTTGTTTTTTTTTTTTCTTATAAAATAAAATCACACAATTTGGAATCAATTTTTCAAATTTTCTTATTTTTATAAATTTAAAATTTAATAATTGCGAAAAAAAAAAATTATGTTCAATCAGATTTTCATACAAAAAGTAATATTTGCCTATTCGATAAAGATGAACCAGTGCTTCCATTTTCATCATTGAAATCAGAATATAGATGGCGTTACAAAAATCCATTATTATTTGGTAGATCGGGACTTATGCGGAAATCTACTTCATTAAAATTACAAGGTCAAATGCAAATTGAGACTGAACATAAATCAAAGTATCTTCCATTTTCAGAGGAGGAAATATCAAGGTATGATTTAAATTTTGATTTGTAAGACATGGTAATGCAGATTTTTACTATAGTAACTTAGAATTGTGAATTTTAGAGCACATAATTAAATTTAATTTAATTCTGATTTTTTTTTTTTGAGATTAATTTCGAAAAATATTTTAATATTTTTCCTTCTATATATTAACAGTTGTAGAGTACGATCTTTACGTTCACCTCAAAATTTAAGACTTGAAGGTGATATTGAATTAAGTCCTGAATATAAATCTTCATTTGTACCATTTCCAAAATTTGAACGGCAAAGAAAATATACACCAGTTGAAAAATTTAAAATTCATGGAGATATCGAAATGACTAAAACACCAATTGATATTAATTCAGATGATATACCCGAAACTGAAACAAAAATAGCTCCATTAAATGAAAATAAAATTCAATCACAAAAATGTCATTTAAAACTTGAAGGTTCAATGAATTGTGTTCCAGAATATCGAAGTCAGTATATACCATATCATGTTGAAAAATCTCATTCAATACCACAATTGAGTAATATACATTTTAATGGTACATTTTATGGTATACCAGAATATAAAGAAAATTATAAATTTTATGAAGATTATTCAAAAAGTGTTCCAATACGGCATTCTGATCATTTAAAATTACATGGTCAATTATCAACTCAACCCGAATATAAAGATCAATATAAAGAAATTCCAGAAAATATTAAAGAAAAAACTGAATCTAGTAAAATTGATGATCATTTAAAACCCGAAGGAAAATTTTCACGTGATGTTCCTGAATATTATGAAAGTTTTAAAGATCCTCAAATTAAAACAATTCCGGAACGTGGAAAATGTCGTGAACCATATTTTCGATTAAAAGGTAAAATTGAATTTAATCCAGAATATCGGAGTACATATTTAGATTATCCAAGATCACGTCCAATTACAAAAAAAGCTCAATCAACTTTAAGAATATCAAATAGTTCAAAAAGTCCATTTGAAACACCTAGTAAACGTTTTCAATCAAAATCACCTGGCCCAAAATATCATGATCCAAATGATAATTTACCAGTTACACAAAAACCAGAATATCGTAAAGCAAATTTTCATTATCAAATACGTGAAAGAACACCAAAAGACCATAAAGGTTTAACAACAACAACAGCAACAGCTACAGCAAGTCATCAAGAAATTGATACAAGATCACAAATATCTGCAGCATCAACAAAAAGACCACCAAGAAGACGTGAACCAACTTTTATTGATAATAGTGATAGTAGTAGTACAAATAAAGAAAATTTAACAAAAAATATTGAAATTTTATCTGATGAACCATCAACGAAACCAATACCAAAATATGGTCGTAGAGCATCGGTAGCCCGTAATGCACAAAATATTAGAGAAAAATCATCAATAATTGAAGGTAATCCAAAATATTTTAAAGATCAATCATCAGATGATAGTCAATTGCCACCGCAAACAACAAATGCAATTGTACCAGCCGAAGATTCATCATTTGTTGTTTTAGATGATGCTTGCCGAGAAAATAATTGGATGAAGAAATCTTGGTATGAACCATAAAAATTATAAATAAATAATGTGTTCTAATTTAATATTGTTTTAGTTGATTCATATAAATAATCAAATCTAGAATTTTAATTGTAATATCAAGACAAAGAAGATTCAAATATTATAAAATAATTAAATTGTTTTTTATTTTGCTGTATGGCTAGTTGATTTGAGAAGAAACCAATGAATTTTTAATCATGTGCTCTGAGAAAATGATGGCTTTTTTAATTGATAAGGGTCCAAAGCAAGCTAGTGTTTCTTTTTGTTATTATCTTATTAATTGCAAATTCGTTTAGAACTTGGTTGTATTTTTGACTTGATTTCTCAATATCAGCCTTAACTTCATTGATCTTATATTGAAGTGGTGAGTAATAAATTAAAATCGGAATTATTTTCTATTAAATAAATTTTATTTCAAAAATTATTATTAATATTTAATATTATGATAAAATTATAGAATTAAATTTTTTTTTCAAATAATACTTTCACTCTTACACGAGATGGCTCTCAACTCTTCCGGTTCTAATTAAGTGGCTTCATCATGTAATTTTTGTTCCATATATTTTCGCATTTGTGCAATTTTTGATTTTAATTCTCGCAATGAATTTCTTAATTCAGATAACAGTGGCATACTGATAATAGGTTTATGATCAGTCATTGATTCAGGTGTTACAATATGATTTTCCATATAATTTATAGAATCTTTCCTATCTTTAAAAAAAATTAAAAATTATTTTCAAATAAAAGATTAAAATTGAGAATAAATTAAATTATTAATAATCATGTCATAGCTGAAATAATTACTTACCATCATTTGGTTTTAAATCTTGTATATAAGAATTTTTTATATAAGATGATGATGATGATGAAGGAATTTTATTATTATATGATGATTTAATAGGATTTGTTGTTGAAGTATATTGTGATGGTGTATGTAAATATTGCCATGGATAATGTCTTGAATTTAATGATGAATATCTACTATTTAAATCATTTGAATTAATATTAAATGGATTTAATCTATATGATGGTATATTAGGTTGCATTCTTGATGTTGATATTGGTGTTCGTATTTTTGATAACGATGATGTTGCTTTTGTTGGATAATTTGATGAAAAATGAAATTTTCTATTATTATATGAATTTATTGTATCAAATTCTCTACGATTATTACGACCATATGACATTGAATTATCAATGATTTGATTATCATGTAATAATTTACTTTGTGGCATATAATAATAATCTTTATAATTATAATCATTATTATATAAAATCCTTTTATTATTACCAGTATAATTTTCAGTGAAATTTTTCTCTTCATTTATTTCATCATTATTATCATTATCAGTAGCAGTAGTAGCAGTAGGATTATCATTTTCAGCTTGAATTTGATTATTTAATAATAATAATTGTATTGGATTTGGTTTATTTGAAACAATATGATTATTTGGTCTAAACCAATATGGTATCGATTTATAATAATTTTCATTATAATATGAAGAAGAAGAAGGAGAAGAAGAAGGAGATGGTATTGATGTAAATTTTGATAATGTAGTTGGTAATTTACGTGTAAGATAATCTAAATATTCTGAAAGCGTTGATAATGATGAAGAAGATAATGGATTTTGTGTTAATGATATTGATTGTATTGATTCTGATGGTAATATTTGTTGTTGTTGTTCAAGCTGTTGTTCAAGCTGTTTTTCTTCTTCTTCTACTTTTTCTTGATATTTTTCATCTTCTTTTGATTTTAAAGAATCAAAAATATTTTCATTGTTATTATTATTATTATTTAATAAATTTTCTGTATTCAAAGTTTTTACTGTTATTGGTGTTGTTAGATTTTCAAAATTTCGTGGAAAAATTGGTAAATTGTTGAACATTAAAATTCCACCAGAATTTTTTGGTATTATTAAACGTGCATATGTATGCATTTCAATTAAATCTGATGTATTTTGTTTTTTATTTTTTATATTGTTCGTATCAGTGTTCGCGATCTCTATATATGTAAGTATGTATAAAAAAATTAAATATTATAATAATTTTTGTTATTTAAATTTAAAATATAGTTTCTAACCTGTTGTTTCAGTATCGTTCAAGTTTTTAGTTACATTTTCAATAGAAGCATAAGAATCTGAAAATGAGAATGAAAATTTTTTTCATTATAATTTTTATAAATGTTTCAAGTTTTTGGAACGAGCAAGTCAATTTGGGTACTAGGTAACTGATACTTTTAAAAAGGTACTTTAAAAGAGAAGGTGCTATTAGATTACTTGATAAATTTTGTTTTCAATTAATTAATGATAAAATGATTTTTATCATGCAAAAATTTATTTAATAAAAAAAAAAATTTAAATTATTTCCTAAATTTCCAATTTCATGTCAATTATTTCAAAAAGTACTTTAAGAAAAGTTTTCTAAAATTTTCCTTCTCGCCCTCCTTATAATTACCAATATTCTATTCGGTATTAAGTCTATGACTTAATGTATAGTTGTAAAAGGATATGACAAAATAAAAACGTGATTTTCCGTTTCTATCCCTAAGGGATAATAAAAAACGTTTTGCCTCGTTTTTATTTTATAAGGAACCCGCTTTTTCTTTTTGGTTTTGATATTAAATAGGATTAATTTAGCGTTATTTTGTTTCAGGCTAATTAGGTTTTCTTCCTAATTTTCTTTTTGAAATGTTTAGAGAATTTTCACAAAAAAAAAAAACAAAAAACATTTTTCATTCCCATGTTTTATTGAAAAGGCATGCTACTCTCTTTATGACTTTTATATTTTTTTTTTTTGTCAGTTTAAATCCCACTTTGTTTTATATTTTGGGGTTAATAAAAAATTTAAATTTTTTATTGAAATTAATTTTAAAAATATTTTCTTAATTTCATTTAAAAATGCTATTTGAAATTTTAGATTTAGGATACAATTTGTTAATGACAGAAATATAATAAATAAATTTATAATATTAACTTTAAAGTTATAAGGGTAAGTATCATTTAAATAATAATTTGTATAACTGTTATACACGATTATATTATTATAATTTTGGATAGAAATATTTTAAAATATTTAAGATATACTGATTTATTTTAAAACCATTACAGAAAAATGTCCGTGGTTGTTTCATGTGATTTTCCTACCCAAAAAATAAAAGAGCAAAAAGTAAAGTTAAGGATTTTAAATATCAAATAGTTTCCTTTCCCTCATGAAATATACATAATAAAAAAACACAATAGAGCATAACCAATTGTTAGCCAGTTTAATTATTTTTAAAATTTTATAATTATTCAGTTTGGGTTCGCCTATCTTTGTCTTTTGATGATTTTTAACACTTGCATTAAAATAAACATATTTGACTTTATTTTTTTATTCGTTAACGTAATATTGAATCCATAAATATCGCGATGTTTATGTAATAAATTACTCTTTTATATTATAATATTTGTATTCTTAATAGTCATAATTATATTTGAGGCAGATAGGGATATTTAAGAGTATACACAAAGGAGAAGTGCAATGAATTTCACCAGAATCAGAAACAGATACAAATTAATACGATAAATACACTCAAATTTTGAAAATCAGTGGCAATATTGAATTTTTTTAATATTTTCTATATTTGAAAAAAATAGAAGGATATTAGAATAGAAAAATTAAGAAAAACTAAATATAACTAATCTCTGGTATGATCTAATTTATTAAATTTTATAATTTCAATTTTTATTGTGTTCAGATTTTCAATTATTAAAATTTTACAACAAATTACAGAGTTCCGGAATTTTAATTCTATTACTTAATATTTTGTAATTCTAGTCACTCTGTTTAAACTTTTCTCAAAATTTTTGATTATACATAGGTATTTTTTTGAATTCCCATTAATAAATATTCCAAGTTTATGTAATAGAATATTTTTTTTAGATTTATTCACAATAAACATTAAAAGTGAAAATGTCAGTAAAATTTTTAAATTAATTTATGAATTTTATTTTTCTTGCTCTTTTGTTTAGAATTTCATTTAAATACAAAATTAAAAGTCCCAAATATTTTATCGTAAGTCAAAATTTCACTACAATTAATACACTTTGAGAATTTTTTAATTAAAATATTTAAAATTTTTTAATTTTAATACAAAAAGTCCTTCTTGTATTCTTAATTTGTTTATTGATTATCACAAACAACTCACTTTTTATCAATGTAACTGTTAATATCAAAATGAGAAAATTCATTTTATTTGATCGTTTTACAAAAAAATATTTTTTTTAGTTTTTTGAAAATTTTATTTAATTTTTTTTTGGAGTCTTCTTGTAAACTTTACACAATTAAAATTTTTCTTTAACTGACCAAATTCGATTCATTCATTTTCTTTTTATATACTCTTACAATAAGTGCAAGAAGTATAAGAGAATTGCATTCAAACCAAAAAATAGAAATTTTTTTTTGTTACTATTCTTTTTCTTGCATTCATTTTATTGATTAGATGAACATCATAATATCACCATCATTATTGACACGTTCGATTAGGTTAAAGGTGTGTTGAATAAAATTATTTAACACTATAACAAAATCAGTGTAAAAAGCTGGCAAACTAATGGAATCATTCTTGGTCATAAATTAATCTATTAACTATATGTAACGTTACAAAAGTAATATAAGAAAGTTAACGATAATAAAACTGTTACAACAGGTAGATAAAGTTGTTGTGCTCGTATACGTTAAAAGAGTTAAGATGTAAGTTTGAAAATTTTGTGCATTGTGCATAGTTTTCGTGAAATTTTTGTTATTTTAAATATAAGAAACGTATGAGTAAAGGTATAGATATATGGGGAATAAAATTTGTTTCTTCTTTAGATTTTCAAAAACTGCGGTGTTATATTGATTCTGTATAGGTATAGATTCTGTAAAATTAATTTCATTGCCAAGATTTGATGATTTAGATGACACAAAATGCAACCTACAGGCTTTCATTAATTTTCTTTTTGAAAATTTTAATTTTTTTCTATTTATGTTTTTTTTTTTGTCATTTATAAAACTTTTATTTATGTACAAATTCACAAG